GGGGATCATCGCAACCACCGTGGCCAGCTGATATTGCACCTCCTGCGTGCCGTGTGGCACGGCGCGGTCTTCGCGCCAAGCTACGAGCAGGCCGGCACTCAACAGCTGTCAAGAAAAACCGCGACCGACCGGAGCCGTGCGTGATTTTCCCAGGTGTTTGATGCGGAACATTCACGCACCAAGGGGAATATTTTGCGGTTGTTTTTGTGTATTCATCAACGGGATATGGGGGTCATAGGATGCGGTAACATGGGAGTCAGGACATAGCAACGGGATATATACGTAGTGCTTCCAAGGAGTGCCCAATGCAAACCTGTAAGTAGTGTGGAGATATCCAGCCAGGTGACCTGTTTTTGTGCTGTTGTAACCATCTTGACCTGGTGCGGTCATCGAGCTTTGACCTCCGCTCGCCTTCACTCCCATGTTCTGGAAGTATGGCAACATCGCCGCCCTCGGTGAATCATCCGTGCAGACGAAGAAAAGACCGGGATCTCTGAAGAGTTTCTAGGCATTTACCAATCCCAGACACGACCCGTCTGGGACTGGCATATACTCCATACATTGACCCCCAGGTTAACCACCCCTGGCCTGGTCGGTCAATATGCCAGTCCCAGACGGGTCGTGTCTGGGTTAGGTCAAAACAGTGGCAAAACCGACTCTTCGATTCTTCAAGGAGTTGATCAGCAGAACATCCGAGCTCAGACGTGTTCTGTGCTTTGTTTGGAGTTGTAGGGTTGATGGTCCCCTCACAACCCGAAAAACTGTCCTCACAACCCGAACAACTTTTTGCGGAGATCCACAAGAAAGTTTGGCGGGTTGGAGGCTCTGGAGTGCCCCAAGTGCCTTGTTGAAGCCAGCCCAGTTGACTCACAAACAAGTGGACCATCTCTTTGAACATGAGCACCTTATATATATATAGGCTACTTGCGCACCGAAAGGCCCTACTGTATATTCTATAGCCATATAGGCTCAACCTTTTGAAGATCCGCCGGTGCCTCGTCTCGCGAAGCCCAAGCCCAACAAACTCAAAAAATGCAGAAAGCACAAGGGGCTGCAGCACGGCAAGCACAATGCCCTTAAGGCCAAAGTAGTTCAGGACCATGAATCCGAGGAACCTGAAATCGCTGCGGGCGATTAGTGTTTCAAACCATTTGCCCTTTAAAGTCTCCGTTTTGGGTCAGAAGGGGTGGGCGGGGCACGGTGGGGGCGCGGTGGCGGTGTTGGGTGAATATTTTTTCCCAGCGAACCATGTGCTGCCATCGCCTGTTGCCAAAGCTGCTCCGGAGCGCTTGCAGGAAGCCCCAAACGCCGCGCCCTGCGGGAGGAGATCAAAGATGAGGGTGGAACACACCACCTAGTTCCACGAGGCCATGCTGACTGGTCGTGGGACAGTGGCTGGCTCAAGAAACCAAACATATCACATCGCTTGATAATCAACCAAAGGGATAATCACCCAAGGGGGGACATCTGAATCACACGCAAAACCAAAACAAGAACAAGACACATAAACACCTCAGTTGCGACTCTGATCCTTCAACGTGTGAGTTGGGGTCTTCGTTCACGGAGCCAGCCTGGGAGACTGAGATGTTTGGAGATCGCGGCTGGGAACGTCCATAAACATGGAAGTACACTCACTCCCTGAAACGAGTCTTTTGTGGTGTTTGTGGTTACATGGATGGCATATGATGACATAGCCACGAAGACTCGGAGGACCGTTGTCCGAAGACCAAGGTCCAGGTGGTTTTCACTTGCACTGAACCATGGTTTTTGTCCAGGGAGTGTACCCTAAGCCCAAAGAATCCTTGGACCCTCCTTAGAAGTGGTCCCCAAACCAAAACCTTTCCATTGGAGAAGGGCCCGGATCCTTGGGGTAGTATGGCATCTCATTTTGAAGACGAGATTCTTGGGAATTGCCAAACACGATTCTGTGCTCTTGAACGAGCGCCATGTATGGGACGGTGCCCTGTTCACCACCAGCTTGATGATGCGTGCTCTCCATTTCCTTCATAAGACTTCCCAGGAGTCACAAGACGGGGTGGTTTTCAGTCCCATCCAGTGAGTGGATCATGGGCACCCCTATGCTCCGTTCGTTCGGCACCCCGTCTTGCGACTCCTGGTCCATAACACTTCATGATCCCTTTGCCTTAGTTGGACGTGCTGACAGCTAGGATGAGATTCACTACAACTAAGGGTGCCGCTGAATGTCACAAGTGGCATTGCCACGACGTCAGGTATCCTAGGTATCCGTGAGGTATCTAGGATCGTCCAATAATATGTTGAGAAGGACCTACATACATCATTGAAAGGGACTTGCAGTAGATGTCCTTGATCTACTTCTAGCGCACGTGAGGAAGACCTGGGATTGACTTGAAAAGCCCCCTGAACATCCTTCTTCCCCTGCGGACATGGACCGGAATCTTCTTCCACTCATCTAGGGTCGGCTGCTGGGAACCAAGTTTGCGACTCACCGTGTCGACCCCTCCATGGAACTGTCCAAACATCGTTTAAAGCATTTCATGTCAAGAACTGTCCATACTGCTGCTTGTTTTCCTGGGATTCTGCGAGAAGAACCTGTCCAAACATGTCAAGAACCTGTCCATTCCATTGGTGTCTTGGATTCTGCCTCACCTGGCTCCCACCATCATCCAATTGGGTCACGAAATCGCCACAGGGGACGGCATTCGGCCGGGACCGGCATTCTGCGCCGTTGGTTTCACGGTTTCACCGGTCCCAATAGACCCAGGCCCATCCCAGACACTCCATGGGACTGCCATCCCATGCCGATCAATTGACCCCCCAAACCATCCCAACTGATCGGCATAGTATGGCAGGGCAGCAATGGATCCATGGCATGATTATGGCATGCCATGCATCTCAGCACCTTACAGATGCTTCCATAGGATTCCCAAAGAGCGGTGCCAGAGTGGGATCTGGCCCAGGTGCGACCAGGCTGCCAAAGACCCACATGATGACATGGGCAAATATTCATGAAGGCGCCACATGGTTCCTGTCAACCTGAGGCTTCTCAATAAGGACACTTTAGCCCTGAAACCCTCGGACGGCCCTGTTCAAGTCCATTCTTCATCCCATAGGACGCTTCGGAACTCCCGCGGCCTTCGCTGGGCGGAGTCTCCGCGCCATTGGGGCGCCCCGCCTCAGGCCCCGTGAGGGAACTCTCGCGAAGCAATTTGACCTTTTTCCACTGCTGGTAGTGTTAGTGTTGGTGGTAGTAGTAGTGGTGGTGGTGGTGGTGGTCTTGGATGTCATCTGGTCACGAAGGTGGTTTTCGTTAACAGTCCGGACATTGCCACCGATGCAGACGTCAATACTGAGACTCATCTATTACACATGTATTATAGAACCTCTTTTGTTATGGTTCCTATAGCTGGAAATTCCCCAAAACCTACAGAAATTCTTGCTAGTATGGAAGAATCTATTTCTATACCCACAGGTCCCTTGTTAAGCTAAGATTCATCCATGGTCCTTTCTTACGTGGCCCGTGTATCCCAAGACCTTCTAGGCCCGTGTATCAGGGCCTCGCCCAAGGCCCAAGACCTCAAAAGGGACGCCCAAGATCAGCTTGATGAACTTGGTATACTTGCTATACCACTTCGTCGCACGGTCTTCCCGTGCGCCTGCGGGGCATCCTCAGTCATTCTTCTTTTGTCCGCTCAAAGCGCCATGGATCAGTGTGAGCCGCGAGCGGATCAGTGAATGGATCAGCTCCATGGATAGACTGCTGCACCACGTGTGGTTTGGGTTTCGCCATAGTTCGCTGCTTCGCTTTGAGTTTTTTTGGCAAGAAAAGTCCTTCTTTTCAGCCCAAAGGACCTCAAAAGGACTAGGACAAAGCAGGGACGTTGACAACCGCCCGAACGGGACCTTTGGCGGATCAACTTCTTGGGATAATGCTATTGGGCCCAAGGCTTCTCCAGAACGTTATTGAAACCCGATTAGCTTCAAAGAGAGCAATTGGGATCTGCAAAGTTGTAAAAACCAGGAGCAAACTGCGCAAGAGATCACTTGGAGGGTATCGAATTGGTTGGTGTTGCTGTGGCCTTTTTGCTGCATCATGACGACTTTCGCTCAGTCTGAAACATTGATTGCATGAATTTGTTCCATTATTTATACTATATTTATACTGAACCTCAATCCACAGCGCAATCTGATGGTTCTGGGGCTAGCCGCACAGTGACGGCACAAACTTTTGTTTGGCCTAAGAATTGTCGCATTGTTGGACACCAAGTGAAAGTTGTGTGGACAAGATGCGTTTGTATCTTGGTGGTTGATCTTCCAGGATCTTCCAGAGACTTGGCAGGAAATACAACCCATCAGTTGATGATGCCCTCCATCCCAACATGGATAGTGCAGGCATGTGCCAACTCGTTGGGTCGTTCTTCTGTTGCTTTCTTTGAGCCAACTCGTGAACGTCCTTTCTTCGAGCACCTTTCGTCGAGTATGTCGAAATTTGAAATGGAAGCGTTCTTAGTAGCTTCTTGTCGCTAGTAGTAAGAATGCTCCTAGTAGTAAGGCCAGGAGCCCCTAGTAGCGTCGCTTGTTACTCAGTTCCAGAGGTGACATGGGGGGCCTGGGTGGATTTGCTTCGTCCCATGTAGGGGCCGTGGATGTGACAGGAGCACTTCGAAGGCACCCTGCGTTCGGGAACCGGCACCCCGTCGAAAGTGACTCCCGGTTGAGAGCTCTTAAACCAGACTTTACAGGTCTCCTCGGCTGTCGGAGACTTACAGCAGCGGGTGACCTGTTGGTAAATGTCAAGGATTCATTCTGAATGGTGTAAATGCTACAAATCGGTATGTAACGGTATGTCTCTGGCTCACTTACACATTGATTGGAAATCTCCAGGAAGACTGATAAGAGCCCTCACCTGCAATCTTCCATCTAACCACATTCACCCTCACCACGCTTCGGTTTGAGCTAGGCACTGTGCCCCGCTCCCCCACGCATCAGCCCCGCTCCCCCACGCCGCGGTCCGCGGCTGTTTCGCACCGAGCACCGGGCGTCCCATGTTGGGACGCGGCACGGGTCCATTCCTTCGCCGCGGCACGGGAGTGACGTCAGGCACATGCTTGGACCCATTCAGTTGGCCACTGAGATCACATCCCCCTGGCTTACTGGGATCTTAAGGCGAAAGAACTGGGCACTTGGATGCACTTGGCGATTTTTTCAGGAAGAACTCCACGTGGTGGGCTGACGTGGTCGGGTGTGTTTCGGCAATGGCTGCGTAGCTGGACAGCGTTGGCGTTGTCTGTGTGTCTTCCGAATGCCATCGATGCCCAGAAAACGCCGTCGTCATCGGTCGCAAGTCCAAACACCCCTACGGGGCCCCCAAGAATCCACTTCTCACCCTATGTACGTCCAGTCAGACTCAGATAGACTCAGTAAACCCCTGGTCTTTTACATCCTTGAGTACTGCTTTTGACCAACTCCAGTGTTTCATGAATTTATCGACCTCAGCAGACCCCTCCAATCCCGACCCGCCAAAAGCCGCAGACCCGCCCAGGCACCGGCAGCTCACGTGTCCTGCCAAATGACGAAAGTGAGGAGATTCGGTAGATCCGGCAAAAAGAGACACCATTGGGAAGCTTGAAAGACCCAACCCAAACACTCCATGTATGGTATATATGCCGATCAGGCCAGGGGTGGTTTTAGGGGTCAATGTATAGGCATATATAGCAGTCCCATGGAGTGTCTGGGCAAGAAATGCATCGCTACTAGTAACAAGTGCATTACTAAACTATTATAGTAGCTACGAACGTAACAAAGGGCATCGCTACTAGGAGCAAGAAGCTACTAGTAGCTTGAAAGACCCTAAAAGAAATGCATGCACATATAGCTCGCTTTTCAGAGATCAAGCTCCCGTGTTTGAGAATACTTTGAGCTCCAAACATCTCAGTGTGTTTTGAGTGTTCCTGGCAAAAAAAACAACAGCTGAAGATTGGAAGGACATGACTGACCATCTAAGAAATACACCTGAATTCCTCTCTCCCTCCCTCTCTCCCTCCCTCCCTCCTTCTCTCCCTCCATCGGGCTTCCAACGTTTCGACATATCTATATTATAAGGCACAGAAGCTGGCTATCGGCCCAACCATTCCCTCGCAGAAACCGCTTGAAATGAAGCCCCAACTCGCGCACCTGCCCAGAAGAGCGCCCGCCTCCGCCATGCACTCCGATCCATCGAGGCTCACCTCGCGCGCGGCGCGAGGAACGGCCCTCTCTGCGCCCGCGGCCGCGGCACAGCGCAGGGGATCACCTGCGCTGGTGGGACAGGGGAGAGGAGAAAATCAATGAAAATCGTAGAGCAGTCAAGAGTCAAGGCATGGCAAGGTCCATGAAAATCCAAACAAGTTCTGGGTTAAGGAAGAGCTCGAACATCCATTGTAGAGCAGTGACCAGAAAAGAGTCATAGTCATAGCACTACTCTACTGGGGATCTTGGCTCACACCACATCAACATCCACTCAAAGGTATTGAAAGCAACATCGGTTAAGCTACTGTTCTGCAGTAACGTTGAACATGACAGGCACCCTGAGCCAGGGGCCACATGCGCCAGTGCCATGAACGTTTCATGTTGTAGCCAGAAAGCACTCGATCATGGAATCCCAAATAGCATCCTCTTTTCGTAGTCTGACGACTCGCAAAACAACTTCTTCACGTGCTTGATTCTGTGCTGAAAACATCTGGCAGCAAACCTTCAACACCCCTTAATACTCCATAATAATACTAATACCCCTTTCGCAGTAATAATCAAGATCCATCCAAAGTGGATGATGAACCCTAGGGCTCCAAGTACCTTCTTAGAAGGTGTTCGGGAGCGTGCCAGGAGGGTCCAGTCATACCTTCTGAGGGACTTGGAGCACTAGGGAAAGTGAACTTGCGCCGAATGTCCAGCACATTCCCGCGCCTTTGTCCAATTTCCCGCTCAGCGAACAATGTCTCTCCTCGCAATTCAAGATCTCCCCACCTCGGCCGAGGCACACACGATCCATGATTCATCACCCAAAGCATCCCTGTACGGAGTACCTATATATGGAAACTGAATGACCTTTGTTTGTTGGACCACGAATCACCAAATATGTTCACATTATGATCAGACCAAATATATGGTATTTTCCTATCAAAACAGGGGTCCATTGGGTTAGTATAGGTATTTATTAAGTTACCTACATTGACCCTTAAAATGTCATCCTAACATAATGCGGACACCGTGTGTCTTTCCCCTGTGTTCCTCCACGCATCGAAAGGGAAAAACATCTCCTCTCCGACACCCGACACCCGACACCCGTCCGCTCCCACCCCGTCTCCTCCCACCGAGAGACTGCTGCCCGAAGTGCAACTGGCTGTGTTCAGACTTAGACTCACCTGGCGCGCGAAACCCGAGAGCTGCGCCAGCTGCGAGATGGACGCGAAGATCCGCGAAGAGAACCGAAAGACGCTGCGCAGCGAAAGTGGCCGAAGACCGCAACCGAACGCAGCTGGTTGAGAAGTGGCGATGGAAAAAAGCTGAATCTATGGTGAGAAGTGGGAGAGTTCCTTTTAGGTACCTGGACCCGACTTCAAGTTCCGTAGAAAATGGGACATGACCCCACTAAAACAGGTACTGGTACCCATTTTCCGAGGAACGAACTGAGACTCCAGGTAGCTGGAACATTGGATTGAACTAGGGTGCAGTGAGGATGGTTCTCCACGGCTCACCAGCCCACCTAGGCCAGCTTTTGCTCTTTCGGCGGATGGGTGTCCTTTCAGACCTCCCAAGAGAGGTTGTTCACAGCCTTTGGTTGCCCATCTCATATGTACCACAGATCAGGGTCCGAACGTTCAGGTCTCTCAACCTCTCTTGGTCTCTCACTGCTGTGTTTTGTTGGTTTGTTCCGATCGGTCGGCGCTCGTGACGGGTGACCTACTCGGTGTCGCTCCAACATCCTGCGAACCAGCGAATCCTATACCGTTACTGCACCGATGTTCAAGAACAAGGACAATTGCCCAGTTGACCGAGGGTTGTGCACCATTGCGAGGGGTGTAATGTAACATATATACCCTTCAGGTCAATGACCTCGTTTGATTCGTTATCCCAAAAACATAATAACTATAATTATTTAAGGAGGCAAAAGACCAGGTTTTGCTGAGTCAGACTGGACGTACGTAGGGAAATACCATGAAATACATATGACAAACAGAAGCAATTAAAGCACCCCCCAAAGTGGAGGACGTATCACCAGTCCCAGGGCAAGCAAAAACACCCACGGTCACCAATCGCCTCCTCGGCCGCTGGCAAATCCGCCAAGCGCAAGGGTGGCACGCTGGCACGTGCCTGTGCGACCGAGAGCACAGCCACGAGGTTTGAAGACCAACAAAGGTTCAAGGACTCTTAGAACAAACCATATATCCCATATATTCCCATAGTTATTCCCATATTATCCAATAGTGAATGCTACAGGGAAGGCAAAGGGCATGTATATTCCAACATATTCAAACCTCCTGTAGATTATCTTGGCTAGAAACATCTGCATGATGGTGTGTATCCATTGTATCCTATCAATGTGGCTTAGGGTGGTCTTACTATTTGATGTTGAAGTGTGCCAGTTGTCATCCCTAGCAAAAGGATGTCCTTCATCTCTTTCTCGTGGCAGCACTTAAATCACAAAAACACGCACTGCAACCTGCAAATCAACCACAGGCATCGTCTACTGACTGGATTTTGACTCTTGCTTGCAGTGACCTTGGAAAGCCTGCATTTGGGTGTCATCTCCAGGGCTTCTGTCTCTTCATGTCTTCATGATTCTTTATGTTGTTTTCTTCTCCAGGGCTTCTTCCTGATGAGTTCTTGCTTCAAAACTTCAAAACCACCCGCCCACACCAGCGCGACCTCGCCTTCGCCGCCGGCGAGGCATCCGCCGAAGGCGCCGACGCGGACGGCGACGCTTCGCGCTCCGCCGCGTCGCCCGGACGCTCGGTGCGGCCGAAGCTGGGCGCAGAGGCGTCGGCCGCGGGCTCGTCCGGCGCCGTCGTCGCGGCCGGCTCGGCCCGCTCGGCCTGGGAGTGAGACGTCTTCGCCGGTGAAGTTCTAGAGGTCTGTAACTCGCCAGGGCTCCGTCGTTTTTGCTGCTCCGTCGTTTTGTGTTTTTGAGTTCTTTGGAAGTTGTCACTTGGCAAGTGTTTGACATGTTGGCTGGTTGTGGAAGATTGATCCCAAGTGGCTGAAGTTGAAAGCAACTAGACAAGGGTAATTATGTTAGTTAGAGACGGACTCACAAACTTGGAATATATCATCAAATATTTGATTGAACTTGCATAGAAATGGTGCAGCTAGATATTGTGGATTTGAGCGGTAAGCAGTGGTGGATGAACTTCTCCAAAGCTCTGCGCAAAGACAAACAAAGTTGAGAAACTGGGCCCCACCAACCCGGGCAAAGCCCAAAGAAGCAATAGCTTGCTGTTTCCTCCAGAGTATGGGAGAGTCCCCACGTACAGCCACCTGATGCCACCTGGTTACCAAGGAAACTGGAAGGCAATGCTCTTCCATTCTTTCCAGTGAATCAGGCTTTGTAGGGCATTCAACTTTGGTGCTGGTCAGTTCATGCGAGACATTGAGGTCACACATCGCCCATAACAGCTGGTCTACAAACCCTGTAGGATGGGGCCAATGATAATTAGAGCCATATCCTTTGCCTAGGTTTAGGATCGTCGACGGCCTTGTGCATGTTTGACCATCCTACCCGGAAGCGGCCGCATGGCCGCATGCGCTCCCTCCCAACCTCAAGAGAGAAAACCAAAAAAACAAGAGTGGATTCTGCTGGTTTTGCCCGGTGAGGGTGAGCAAATTGTAATTGTACTAAGCAAGTATGCGATAGCTTGATGTGGTCTGATTGGGATGGAACTACGTCTTTGCAGATTGCAGGTCAAGAAAAAGCAACGACTAAAAGAAAAAAAACTGTCCATTGGAGAAGGGGAGCCTTAATGAGGGTGACAAACCATCGCCCGTCAACCCAATCGGCGCCCGCCTCAGAAACTTCCTCGACCTCTCGAAAGGCCGCCTGCAGCACCTCTGCACCTGCGCAACGAAAGACGCGACTGGCAAAAAGAAACACCCAACAGGCCAACGCTCAAGGTCGAAGGCGAGGACGAACACATTGCCTTCGCTCCAAGCGCGACGGCAGCTCTGCAAGCCGTGCTGGAGGAGCTGCCAGCGTTGCTGGGCCAAACGCGCCAGCAAACCGCTGAAGGCCTCCGCACGGGCAAAAAGCGCGGACCACGCGCGCGCGCGCGTCAACGCGGGAGGTGGTTGACAGGGGGGGGGGAGGCTGACAGCCATGTTTGAGACTGGGTGACATGTATCGGTGGTGTGAAGGTTCTTTTGGGCCAAAAACCGGTTGGCACTGTTGTAGACGAGTGGTATGTTCTTAAGAATTCTTAAGTATTTATGTCGGAGATTTGTTGAGCATGTATGATCCAATGTGGGACTCTTAACCACAATTCAAAAAAAAGCTGCCACGGTTATTGGTGTTTCCAACTGAAGAAGTTCACAACTGTTCACAACATTTATGGCGGTGTCTCGATGTTCACAACTGTTCTTTGTTCAAGCAACAGTTTGAAGTTTGCCTTTTGCAAAAACAGTTTGCAGCAATGCACAGTGCTGGGTTCGGGATGTGAATCTTGTTGAACCTAAGACCATTGTTCATTGACACGATCGTGGGTCGATGCTAGACACCATATATGTTCCTATTGGTTGTTCACGAAGAGGGGTATCAACCCCTACTATATGTACCTTGCTATGGTAGGGTTGTATCCCCTATGGTAGAGGTACCTCTATATACGCATTATAGGGTATATCCCCTCCAATTCATCAAGCAACCAATCAAAAGGCTATCCATGCCTGGTTCTCTTCACAGAGATGTGGCCACCAGCTGTGGGGTCTGTCAGTTTCACGCTTGTTGAGGCTTTTCCGCACGCGTAGTTTTGGCCAGGTGCCAGGTGTGTGTGCAGTGGCAACCAAGGTTTGTAAGGTCTCCAGAGTCAATAGGAAATTACTCCTGAAAAGGAAAACAGATACCACCTCCACCCGGTCGTAGCGTCCTTGCTCCTAGTAGCGATGCCAGGAGCCCCTAGTAGCTTCTTGTTCCTAGTAGTAAGGCCAGGAGCCCCTAGTAGCGTCCGAACGCTCCTACTTAATTACCCATCGTCTCCACTGGGCAGTTGATCTCAGCTTTTAAGATATTCTGGGTTCATGAAACCTCTCCCCATGTTCAGGAGCAACTATACATCAAGCAACTTCATTGGCTGTGGCTTCCAAAGTATGACCCAAAAGAACCCCACCCTTCACAAAGTCAATTTGCCCTCTAATCACCCCATTTTGAGCAGAGTCAAGTGTTGAACAAAAAACTACTTTACTGTGAGCCATACTGATGTGGTGGTGATAATCATGCTAATCCATTCGTATCAACTGATGTCCTCACAATTCGCTAGAAACCACTCACCCCGCTTTTGGTGCTGGTGAAGGGCCTCTGCCGCTTCCCTCCGCTGGGATTGCACCAGGGCGAGCCTGGGTCTTGAAAAACCGTGGGACCCTGGTTTTTCCCACCGGGTGGATGAACAAAACAAACAGGAAGAGGCGATTGGGAGGTCAACCATATAGAAATCCGGGCTTTGGACCCACAGCCATATCGAAACGAGTTGATGGACAACACATTGTGGTGGCACAGCGTGAAAACGATGTGAACCTGAAGGAAGCGAATCGAATGTCAAAAACTGTGGGCATATTTGGGGAAGTGTTCCTCGAAAATGGATGATCTGTCCAAGAAGAGACAGTTTAAATCGAACCAGTTCCCTTGAAGGAAAAAATGCGCCGGTTCCTGTCCAGATAGACTGCGAAGGAGATGAAGAGGTCTTGTTTCAGGCATCACTCGGATGTAGACGTTCTGGAGCTAAATGCTGCGCAGCTCAACGCCCGAAACATCGTCCATTTTATCTGGACACAGGTCATGGGAAGTGGCATGAAGTGGCTGCTGGAAAGACCATGTTTCCATCTACAAAACAGGAGTTGAATTGAACGAAACCATGTGAACTCCACTGTTGCGCCCCTTTCTGGGGACCCCCGGGCTGGTCCAGTCTTCCAGCCAGTTCCTCCACGGCGGCGGTCTGAGCATGAGCTGCAGCTTGTAACTTCCCTTCTGCCTGGAGTGGTGATGAGCCGGAAGGGAAGGACCACCACCACCACCACTACCACCACTACCACCACCACCACCACCACCAGCAACCACCACCACCACCACCGCCGCCAACAACAACAACAACGACCACCACAACAACCACAACAACCCATTTCTGTGAATTTATGTGGACCATTTGAGGGTGTCAGATCGAGGTTGGGACAAGTGGAACGTGAGGGGATTCATGTGATGGAAATGCAAATCCGCCGGCCTGCCGGCGTGTTTTGTGGAGTGTTTTGGTTAGTATTGCTTGTGTTGGTTTCAATCTACGGTTTGTATCTCCGCGCGGATTTTCGACAGCCTGACGCCCCCCCCGCCCCTCTACGTCTAAGGTGATTGGACTGAGACATGTCGATCGCTGGATCAGAATAGACAACCATTGGACTGAGACATGTCGATCGCTGGATCAGAATAGACGACCTCTGATTCGGATTCGTTCCTTTTCATTGTAAAACGACTTCGCTTGAAATCAACATCAACAAACTCTCCCAGCAAAATGTGCAACTCCAATGCACACACAAGTCTGATTGAGCAGGGTATTGTTGTTCGATGTCATTCTGGGTCTTTCATCCCCCTTGTGGAGGTCTCTGGGATCCGGGACTTCATTTTATAAGGAACAATCATTTATAAAATGGAAACCCACATGCTGCTGCTTTATAAAATGAGAACCCGACCTTTTTATATAATAGTGACCAGGATTCAGAGAGCAAAAAAAATAGAATTTCAGAGGCACCTTTTGTCTCTTTATGGAATGGCGTTCCAGATCCAGTGATCATTTTGATCCGAAAATGGCCAATGTTTATGGAATGCAGAGCCAGGTTCGGCTTCATCCTCACAGGATCTCTTGCGACAAACTCAAAAATCCTCTGTGCGGACAAGTCTGTGATTCTAACTTTCTAATCCCCCTTGTGGAGGTCTCTGGGGTGAGGGATTTGATTTATAAGGAAAACCCATTTATAAAATGGCATCCCTCAGGCTGCTGCTTTATAAAATGAGAACCCGACCTTCTTATATAATAGAATGCCACAGAGAATGAGCAAAAAACCTGAAATTTCACAGATGCCCTTTTTCTCTTTATGGAATGGCTTTCCATGAGCAGGTGATCATTTTGATCCGAAAATTGCCATTGTTTTTGGAATGCTCAAACATGTTCAGCTATCCTCTCAGGATCTCTTGCGACAGACTCAAAAGAAGTCCTCTGTGCGGACAAGTCTGTGATTCTAACTTTCTATGTAACTTCTGTAGTTCTAACTTTCTGTGATTCTAACTTTTTTACAAACCACACAGGGCTGTGTCTGGCTGCAGAATGGATTAGAACGGCAGTGTTGTTGGAGGTGCTGAGCGACAAGTTCCACCATGTTCATCCATGGCTGTTGTTGATCCTTGTTTGTTTTGGTGACTGTATTGTTTGGATTTGTTTGGACATGTTTGGACTTTGAATAGTGTCAGTGTCATCACTTTTTTTCATTGATTCACCGCCCTGAGTGGAGGGTGTGAACAAATACAATCGGATACAATGGGATGCAAGGG